ATTATCTTAAGCTTTAATTCACTCTTCAACATAGGTAAGTTTGAGAGTAATCGGAGTTGTTTTGAAATCTAGTAATATTTAATTAATTTATTCCGGGTGTACTATTCACCCCATTGGAATTCCGACTTGACATTCTTGATATGCATGCTATATAGTTTCACATATATTAAATCTATAATATTTGGTTAGGTTTTGAAATCTATCATTTATTATTTTTCTAGTATTAAAGTTTAATGCTCATGGCCATTTATTGCATGGAATTCACTTGTGTCGTGTTTTAAATCATGTCATGGTATGTTGTATAACATATTTAAATTTGAGATCATTTGGATGAATTTCAAAACTTAGAGATTTTAATTAAGTGTAATAATTAAAATCCATTCAATAGCTCATTGGTCTTGATTAAGTTTCTAACTTGGAATTCATGCTTTTCGTGACAAATTCCTTCACATATATCAAATTGAGAATAATCGGATAAGTTTAAAACTTATTTTCATTTACTTCCTTTGTATAGAACTTAATTCACATGGTTATGTCTTGCATGAAATGGACTTGTAACTTAACATTTAACTTGACCTTGATATGATCCTTGACACACCTTGTTCATAGAACATTTGGACTTGCCTTGTAATCATGATAATTTAATCCCTTAGGTTGATTAAATTTTCCTTTTTATGCTTTCATCGGTTTAATTATGACCCCTTGTATCTAGGTTTCATTAATGTACTTAATGAACATGCACACTTGTCTTGAAATGATTTAATTACTCATATGTTGCTTAGAAAGTAATTGAATTATGTATCTTATACTTGTATATTTACTTCAATGAACTCCATGTACTATATATCTTGGATGTTGTCTATATAGTTGCATACTATGATTTCTTGTCATCTCACATGCCATGATAGTTGATGAACTAGGGGCATGACTTGCGTGTTCCAAAATCTTGGTTCTGTATGAAACGTGGTTAATGTATTTATTGTATTTGATACAATCTTGACTTGCACAACTCATTGATTTTGGGACTTAGGATATCAATCAATAATTGACATGGCTAGGACTTGGTTCTAGTACGGGGGAATGTCCTCCTACAGCTATAGTGCGCACTAGGGGAAAGGTACCCATGGGTTAGTAGCCCTAAAGTGATCTCAAGAGTACGGTTTTAATCCGGGCGATATCCGAGTTTCCACATTGGTTGATTTCGCTCTTTAAATTTCAAGTTGCTATTCCTTAAAGATTTAAACTTGTCGTGTTATGTGAAATGCTCCAATCTTGTTTCATTGCATAGATATTATGCCTCATTCGTGATTTCAAGCATACTCCTTGTCATGTTAATTGCATCGATAATGTAATTCTTGTTAACATATGTCCGAGCATACTTATTGTCATGTTATATGGAATGTTCCACCCTTGTATACTTGCATAGGTATTATGCCTTGTTCTTGATTCCGTGTATAATTCTCGTCGTGTTAATTGGTTTAATTCCAATCATGTTAATTGCATCGATAATGTAATTCTCGTTAATTTATATTTGAGTAATTTTCTTGTTGTACTTTATGGAATATCTCTACCTTGTTGCATTGCATAGATTTTGTGCATTATCCTTGACTTCGTGTATTCTTCTTTTCATGTTAAATCGGTATGTCCTAATCATGTAAATTGCATTGATAATGTGATCCTTATATTCCATTGTTTTCTTATCATGTTGTATATATCTTACTGGTTATATTCATTGGATTATCCCGATCTTGATTTGTTTCATACATGTTTATGTATCATGATTCTTGTTGCTTATACTCTAGGGTAGCTTAGGATGCTCCCTGAGTCTCATATTGACATAGACGTTAGGTGGCATGAGCCTTTTGACATGCTTCACCATAAGGGGATATAACCGTAAAACGCTAGGTCGATGCATGCTCATCTCCTACGAGTAGCTTTATGTTGCTCACCCCTACGCTACTGGGGCATATTTCAGGTACAGGACTCAAGATTTGAAGATTTCATTGCCTTGGATGATTTGTAGCTTCTCATGGCAAAACTTGTATTCTTTGATTCCATATATGTAAAGTGTGTATAAGCACACTCTTTTCATTGTATTCAACATGTATAAGATGAGGCCGGAGGCCAATATCATGTATTATGTATTTTATGCACTTTTACTTTCAAAGTCATTGTGAAAACCTTGAAAAATCAATAGTCTTTGTTTCATAACTTTTGCATCGGGTGTGGGAATTTCATTCTTTCTTTTTCACAGGGTTTCTATGATCATGTATGAGGTGTGGCCAAGGGCCAAACACTATTTCATTCTAAGTTTCTCATTTTGGTTCCATTTATCTCAATTTTAGGCATTTTTGGCCGTTGAGAGGTCATATTTTGCATTCTTGACATTTTGAAGCCGTGGACCATTGGAACGCGTCTTAAATGTCTTTTTACGTTCGCGTGTATGTCCACATTGTACAAAACTCTTAAGTTTCAACTTTTGACCTATTTTTGGGCAATTTTTATGAAAAATTCCTCCATGGGGTGTCATCTTGAGTTCCCTCTTGTTTTAGCATGTCTTAGATGCTTCAATGATGTTAGAAAGTGTTTTCGAACTTGTTCGGAACATATTGGATGCATGTAGAACCTTAGAAGTGGACCTAGCATCACAAAAACACATAGCAGCAGCTTTATATAGCTGCAGTAGATGTGTCGGTCGGCTGATGGAGCTTCATCAGCCGGCTGACAAGCCTAGAGACTCCTTTCAGTAGGTTTTCAAGGAAAAACCACATTTTGGCCGACCGATGATTGGGGTTTGGTCAACCAACGACTGAGGTTCAGCCGGCTGATAGTTGTATTTCGGTCGACCGATCCTCCCTGGGACCTTCACCTTTCAGCTTCTCTTGGACAGTTTTCTTATTCCGACTTCAGATGGTCATATCTCACTCATTTTAAATCCAAATCTGGTCATTCTTGATTCTAAGTTCAAGAGCTCGAACTTAGCTTTCCAATGGTATCAACCAATCATTGGAACTCCAATCGTAGTACGAGTTATGCCAGTTTTAGTAGGATAGGGTCGTGCTGTCTCATAAACGGAGGATGCCTCTTCGTTCTAAATTCATATCTTTTCTGTTTGGACTCCGAATCTGGTGATTTTTGAGTCTAAGTTCATTAATTTTTCATTTTCTTTCCAATGGTGTGCTTGGTAGCTCCCACTTTCAGGTTAGAAATGACCGTTTTGCCCTTTGGTTCATTCTTATCTGCTTGTGAATCGTTGCTTCCGCACTTGTTTTCTTCGAGTTCCATGGCTTCATGGGGAGTCACCTTGATGCCTTAGGGATAATGTACATCTCTTGAGGCCATTTTGCTTCTTCTGCTTCCGCATTTTTAGATTCGGTACGGGTCATCACAGTAGACACTGGGTTGAAAAATCCAGGGTCATTACAATCTATGCAAGAAAAACTCATTGAATCAACTCTGTGGCGTGTACTGATTGCTGAGATGAGGTTGCTATCAAAGTTGCTGATGCAAGGGCTGTATTGAGTAGTGACTTGGTGCTTCAAGCTGCTGTGGTCGATTCTAAAGGTTGACATAGGTATAATTCATCTTTTTACACTTGTTAAGACTAAGTTTGTTTTGAGAATATACTGAAAATGAATTTGGACAGTGTGGTCACTAGTTAAGCTTGTTTTTCTGAAGAAATCTTGGATTCAGGTGCTATTTGATTATACTTAGCTATTTCATGATGATCTATGCTCCTAGCTAGTATATTTTGATGAATCGAGATTGTTAAAGTTGAGTTTGTGACAAAAATATGATATGCTTTGAGTTTGAGTATTCTGTGCCGAAGAAGTTTTGTGCTGAAGTTAATCTGTGCTGAGGCTATTATGTGTTGAAGCTATCTATGCTGAAGCTATCTTGTGCCGAAGCCTATATCGTGCTGAAGCTATTATATGCTAAACCAAGGACTTTGACTAAACATTGTGATATACTCATGCTGTGTTTGATTATGGAAAGCTATGAACATAAGTACAACAGTGAAAGAAGACTGTATAAGGCGCTGGTGAATTGATCTCGAAAGGAATTTTTTATTTTACCCCTCAGACCGTAGATGCAGCGGATTACAGTTCTGAGGCAGTAACTTAGAATTCTAGGTTATCCAGCCTATTCTAATTGTTGCAAAGACTTTATTGTATTTAGTGTGTTGACACTTATTGTAAGTGGCAGTGAGACTTGAAATCCTCGCCCCATTGTTGAGTGAGTTATGAGAGCTTATTTGGTCTAAGCATGGTTGCTTAAGACAGGGGGAGTGCGTAGATGCACTGTGGTGTGATAGTGTGTATATTGGTTGTAAAAACTAGTGTATGTTCTTGTGCCTGGGTGTGTGTAGAGAGTGAGACAGCTGAGTGTGTAACAAGATACATACAGCTAGTAGTGGATTGTTAATTGGCCGAGGACAATAACCAAGGTTTTCACTAGTTAAGAGGGTTTCCTTGTAAACCGTGTGTTATCTGTTCTTAAATGCCTTCTTAGTTGTGTTGAGAAAGTTTTAGAAAGCAAAGTTTTAACCAATTCAACCCCCCTCTTGGTTCAACAATTGGTATTAGAGCTTTGGTCTGCACTGTGAGGTTCTAATAAGCCTGCAGTTGATCCCAACAATGGATGAAGGTCAAGTTATCAACAAAGCTCCAGGGTTTGAAGGTTTAAACAATGATTCTTGGAAAACTAGAATGGAAGCCTTCTTAATGTCTCAGTCCTATGATGTTTGGCATACTACCGTACATGGTGTTGTGATTCTTAATCCTGATAACCCCTCTGCTGAAGATAAATTGGCTGTGGCTAATGATGGCAAGGCCAAATATGTTCTCTTTTGTGCCTTAAGGCAACAATAGTTTATCAGGGTTAAAAATTGTAAAACAGCCAAGGAAATGTGGGATTCTCTTCAGGCAACCCATGAAGGAAATAAGGTTATTAAGGAGAACAAGATACAGCTATTTTAAGTTCAGTATGAGGTGTGTAAGATGGAAGAAAGAAAAACAGTTGCTGAGTACATGTTCAAGATCAATGACCTTGTCAACAATATGAGAGCACTTAATGAAGATATTAAGGATGTTGATGTTTGTAAGAAGATACTAAGGTCACTCACTTCTAGATTTAATCCTAAAATGACAATTCTCGAAGACAAAGATCTTTCTGAAGTGAAAATTGATGAGCTTCAAGCCTCTCTCACTGCCTATGAAATGAGAATTGGTGTTCCAGCTGTTCATAGAAGAGACGCTGCTCTTAAAGCAAAGGAAGTTGTTGAAGAAACTGAAACAAAGTCTAATGATAATCTTGAAGAAGATGAGGTAGCCTATCTTGCTAAGAAATTCAGAAAGTTCAGGTTTAAAAAAAAGAATCAGCTACAAAATTTAACCTATTATGGTTGTGGTAAACCTGGTCATGTTGCGTCTAATTGTCCAAACTCAAAGGGGCAAAGTCAGAAGAAGAATGAGGGAGGAAACTATAAAGGAAGGTTTGGTAGAAAAGCACTTATCTTAGATTGGGATGAAGCTCCTGAAGAAGATAAACCTGAGGAGACACAAGAAGATGAATGTCTCTTTATGGCAGTTCTCGAAGCACCACAAACTCCAGTTCAAGTTGAAGAAGATAGTGACACTGAGATTGAGGAAATTCTTGAAGAATGTGAAAGGCTTGCAGTAAAGTGTAATCAACAAAAGTCCCAGATAAAAAGGCTCAATTCAGAATTGTTAAAGCCCAAACAAATTCTCACTAAACACTTCAAACTTAAACTGTCAATGTTGTGTTCAGTTTCTCTTATTTTTCAAAGCCTATTGAAATCTCAAGTCAACACTCAGTGGTCTACCAAGAAGTGCAAAGAAGAACTGTCTCTCATTCTTGAAGAAAGATCCCTAAAAATGGCTGAGATCTGGAAGCAATCCACAAAGCAAATTGGAAAGACTGGAATTGGCTATGTGTGTGATTCAGCCACAAAGGTCAATCAAACTCACTCTGTATTTGTTAAAGCTACAACTGGTGAAGTGTATGCAAGGTTTCCTATTATAAAGCCTCAGAGGTTTAAGGGTGAGTTACTTAATAACACCTGCAGTACTTTAAGCTTCAACAAGAGAGACTTTGTTACCATAGCTATAAGGAACTTTAAGATAACTAGAATGTATGTTAAGAAGTCAGACTTAGCTTTAGCTCAGAAGGTCAAGGACAAAGGATCCTTCGTGAAGACTAAAATGATGTGGATTCCGAAGAAATTAAACTTTATGAGTCTTCTAGTGTATATAGCTTTGAAAGCTTGTAACACTCAGGACAAATGGTATATTGATAGTGGCTGCTCTAGACACATGACAGGTGATAAATCCAAATTTACTTCTCTGAAGCAGTTTGATGGGGGGAAATGTTATCTTCAGAGACAATCAAAAGGCAAAAATTATTAGTATTGGAACTATAGACAAGTCTGAAGAATTACCTGAGATTCATGAAGTTCTACTTGTTGAAAGGCTCAAACACAATCTTCTCAGTGTTAATCAACTAGGTGACAATGGAAAAGAAGTATGCTTCAATAAAGAGAAGTGCAGTGTGGTTGATCTCAGATCCAAACAAGTCCTTTTCTGGACGTATAGATCCTCAGGAAATGTTTATACTGTCACTAAAGAAACTTAGAATACTCAATGCAATCTGACAACTTGTGATAAAGCTAAGCTATGGTGCAAAAGATTAGGACATCTGCACTTAAGAAATTTGTCTAAACTCCTCAAACTAAAAGCTGTCAAAGGTTTGCCTGATATCAACTTCAAAGAAGATCATCTCTGTAGAGCTTAGCAGCAAGGAAAACAAACCAAAGTCTCATTTCCCTTTAAGGAAAGCAACTCTTTAAAAGCTCTTGACTTGATACATATGGATCTCTGTGGCCCTACCAGAACCACTAGTTTTGGTGGAAGTAAGTATTTCATGCTTCTTATTGATGATTTTAGTAGGATGGTGTGGGTTTACTTCTTAAAAGAAAAGTCTTGGGCCATTACACACTTCATTAATTTTGTTAATCTTGTTGAAAATGAAAGAAGTAGCACTGTGAAGAGACTTAGGTCTTTCGGCTCAAAATTCATCATGAAGGAGTTTGAGCACTACTGTGATAATAAAGGTATTAAGAAAGAGTTCTCAGCTGTTGCTACTCGTCAATATAATGGGGTTGTAGAAAGGAAGAACAGGACAGTTCAGGAAATGGGTAGAACAATGCTTCTAAAAAGAGGTCTAACAAAGGGTTTCTGGGCTGAAGTTATGAGTACGGTTATGCACATCATAAATATCTTCTCAGACCTAATTCAACCAAAACACGTTATGAATTATGGTATGGAAGACCTGCAACTGTTCACTACTTCAAGGTATTCGACAGCAAGTGTTATAAACTGAACCACACTGACAGTTTGGGAAAGTTTGATTCAAAGGCTGATGAAGGCATATTCTTGGGATATTCTACAAAAAGCAAGGCTTATAGATGCTACAATCTCAGGTCTTCAAAGGTGGTTGAGTTAATCAATGTGAAGTTTGATGAGAATCCTCAGTCAACACTTATTGAAGACAGTAACAACACATCTGGTTCAAATGAAGCCAGTACCTCAGTTCCTAAACCTGAAAATCCAAGAGAAATCACCTATCCAGTGCTGTAAAAGTAGGTTCAAGCTGAGAACATCATTGGTTCATCTCAAGCTAGAGTTTAAACAAGAAATAAAAAGAAGCTAAATGATTTAGAAGCTAAAGATGGTAAAGAATACAGTCACTTTGCTATGCTGTCATCCATTGAACCAAAGTCCTATTTTGAAGCTCAGAAAAATAAATAATGGTTAGCTGCCATGCATGAGGAACTTGATCAAATTCACAAGAATGATACCTGGACATTTGTTCCCAGACCTGAAGACAAGAATGTGATAAGTTCAAAGTGGATTTATAGAAATAACAAAAATGAGAAGGGATCAGTAATAAGAAATAAGGCAAGATTGGTGTGTAAAGGTTATGCTCAGTAAGTTGGAATTGATTATGATGAAACTTTTGCTCCAGTTGCTAGAATGGAATCTATTAGAATGCTTCTGTCTTTTGCTTGTCACAAACAAGTCAAAGTATATCAAATAGATGTTAAGTCAGCCTTCCTAAATAGAGACTTAAATGAAGAAGTTTACCTGGAACAGCCTAAAGGTTTTGAAGATTCAAAGTATCCCTATCATGTGTTCAAACTAAGTAAAGCCTTGTACAGTTTCAAATAAGCCCCCAGAGCCTGGTGTGAGAAGCTGCATCAGTTCTTAGTTAAATAAGGATTTCACAGAGGCAAGGTTGATAGCACTATTTATGTAAAAACTTATCAAGAATAGTTCCTAATTCTACAAATCTATGTTGATGATATCATGTTTTGTGGCTCAGATACCTCATTAGCTTCAGAATTTGCTAATCTTTAAAGACAAGGTTTGAAATGTCACTCTTGGGGACTCTCAGATACTTTCTAGGCCTGCAAATTACACAAACATCCACTAGAATCTTCATCTCTCAGCAAAAGTATACCTCAGAGCTACTTAAAAAGTTCAAAAATGGATGATTGTAAGGCTGTCTCAACACCACTTTGTCCTAATACCAAACTCTCACTTCAATGCACCACTGAAGCTGTTCCTTCAACACATTACAGGTCAATCATTGGTAGTTTGTTGTATCTTACTGCTTCAAGGCCTGATATAATGAATTCAGTGGGTTTAGTGGCCAGATTTCAAAGTAATCCAAAGGTTTCTCAACTTCAAGCTGCCAAAAGAATCCTCAAATATGTCAAGGGCACCATCTCCAATGGTCTATTCTACATTTACTCACCCTCAATGTTTATTACAGCCTTCTCAGATGCTAAATGGGGTGGATCTTTACTTGACCAAAAAAGTACCTCGGGTTGTTGCTACGCTCTTGGTTCAAATATGGTTTCTTGGCTGAGCAAAAAGTAGGACACTGTCTCTCTTTCAACCTCTGAAGCTGAGTATATGGCTGCCTCACAAGTTGGTTCACAATTCCTTTAGATAAAAACTACTCTCTTAGATCTTGGCATTCAATTCTCAGGACCTCCCAAGCTTTTATGTGATAATCAAAGTGTTATTGCTATCAGTAAGAATCCCACACTACATTGGAAGAGCAAACATATTGACATCAGGTATGACTTTCTCAGAGATAAAGTTCAAAAAGGTCTTATTGATATTACTTATTTGCCTACTGAAGATCAACTTGCAAACATCATGACCAAACCTCTTCTTTCTCAGAGATTCTCAACCCTTTAAGCTCTTATCAGGGTTGTTCATCCTCCCTCCTGAACATATATTGTTGGTCCTACTCACCTTTTGACCTTCAATGTCAAAAAGGGGGAGAAATGGACTGAAATAAGGATAGCTTCGAGCTATTCCTTTTGCATTTGGGTTATTCTATTTACTGAATCTTTATTTTTAAGAGTTGCTTCAAGGTTATTTGGTTTTTGTCATTAAAGGCAAAAGGGGGATATTGTTGGTCCTAAGTTACCTTAAGGAATGTTTTCCTTTTAATGTCAAACAATATTGCTTCAGTGGTCTGTAATAGTACATTGTAATGCTTCAGCCTCAGACAGTGAAGGTTCAGCACTTCAGTTTTAGCTACAAGTGCTCACAAGGGTACTATGGCTTCTTCCCAGTTGTATATCATATATATATATATATATATATATATATATATATATATATATATATATACGTATGCTTAGGTAGCTGCATCGCACTAGATCGTCTTGAATAAACCTGCATTGCCCTTTATACAGCCTCGGGACTTTTGCTTAGCTGAGAAGTATAAAATCTGTCACAAGGGTATTTTAGTGTTTCCAGCTCTGCTCAAATATGTGGCACGTTTCAGTGGTCCTAAAGAGCTGGTATATGCAAGAATATTACATTTATTGGTGGCTAAGTTTGGACAGAAATGGAATTCAGTACTCAAACTTGTAACTGGATGTAGCTGGTAGAATAGTGACAAAATTAGCTGAGGTGGCAGGCCTGTGTTGGTCCATTGCCCTGAAAATATCTAAATTGTGCTCTCCTAATCATTGGTGGAAAGTGACAGGTGTATTGTAGCAGCTATACAAGGGCCACTGTAGTACACTAGTATATATATGCTGTTATAAGGCTACTTAGGGTTTAAGCCTCTTGAATTTACATTGCATATTGAGCTACACTGAGTACCCTCGAGTATACTATGTCAGGCAAGTTTTTCTCTGCTGTTTAATGATAATCTATGCAAGAAAAACTCATTGAATCACTAGTTAAGCTTGTTTTTCTGAAGAAATCTTGGATTCAGGTGCTATTTGATTATACTTAGCTATTTCATGATGATCTATGCTCCTAGCTAGTATATTTTGATGAATCAAGATTGTTAAAGTTGAGTTTGTGACAAAAATATGATATGCTTTAAGTTTGAGTATTTTGTGCTGAAGAAGTTTTATGCTGAAGTTAATCTATGCTGAGGCTATTTTGTGCCGAAGCCTATCTCGTGCTGAAGCTTTTTATGCTGAAGCTGTTATATGCTGAACCAAGGACTTTGACTAAACGTTGTGATATACTCATATTGTGTTTGATTATGCAAAGCTATGAACATGAGTACAACAGTGAAAGAAGACTGTATGAGGCGCTGGTGAATTGATCTCGAAAGGAATTTCCCATTTTACCCCTCAGACCGTAGATGCAGCGGATTGTAATTTTGAGGCAGTAACTTGGAATTCTAGGTTATCCAGCCTATTCTAATTGTTGCAAAGACTTTATTGTATTTATTGTGTTGACACTTATTGTAAGTGGCAGTGAGGCTTTAAATCCTCACCTCATTGTTAAGTGAGTTATGAGAGCTTATTTGGTCCAAGCATGGTTGCTTAGGACAGGGGGAGTTCGTGGATGCACTGTGGTATACTAGTGTGTGTATTAGTTGTGAAAACTAGTGTCTATTCTTGTGCTTGGGTGTGTGCAGAGAGTGAGACAGTTGAATGTGTAACAAGATACATACAGCTAGTAGTGGATTGTTTATTGGCCGAGACCAAGAACTAAGGTTTTCCCTAGTTTAGAGGGTTTCCTTGTAAACCGTGTTATCTGTTCTTGAATGCTTGCTTAGTTGTGCTGAGAGAGTTTTAGAAAGCAAAGTTTTAACCAATTCACCCCCCTTCTTGGTTCAACAAGACTTGACGTTAGACCCAAGCTCCTACGCGACAGCAAACTGCAACTGTGAATGCATTAAAATTGAAGGTGTTGTCCACCGGTGGGTCTCTGTTAATAGGGGTGATCTCTGTTGTGCCCGCCATTGATGAAGATGGCACCGGAAAGGAAAACGGGTCGATTTGAAACATAAACAGATCAGTGTGAGAGAGGGGTATTTTAGTATTTTTGCAGCTCCGATACCAGTAAACAAGCAAAAGGGACTAATTCGCATATATTTTTTGATAGAGTGGTGGTTAACAAACATGAGGGGGTTATACACACAATATACATATTAGAGGAGGTTATCCGCACGTGACCCTTTCTTGTATATATATAAGTTAGTATTGTTATTATTTATTATTTATTATTTTCTTGTTCATATGTTAGTGTAAAAATCTCTCTTTAGAGAGTGATGAAGTTACTATAGCTAAAATTGTTTTAAAA